ATTTGGAAACTTTTCATAAAGGCTGTGGGAGTAAAAAATGTTGGCAGAATGGTACATTGGGTGTGAAAGCGCGGGAACACCTACGTGCTTGGGAGCCTTCGAGTGCAATTTAAGCACGGTGATATTCAAAGGTTATCATCTGCTTCCTCTGTCTCCCCTTCCTTCCCCACGACGATCAAATAGTACCACTGCTCTGTACGGCTTGGAAACCGAGATTTGTCTGTGAGTGGCCAGCGCAATTTAATTTGGAGTATGGATTTCGGCGGATGGTCGCTGACGCGGCGGCCTGACATCTGTGTTGTGCGGCGGACGGCCGGGCCGAATTATGCCTCCCTGCAGCTCTCCCTCTCTTGTGGGTGTGTGCACGCATGTCGCAGGTAGCACGTAATGGATGCATGGCCTCGAAGCTCCAGGCTGAAAGTCTGCACAGTGGGCTTGTTTATCGCAAACAGTTAAGTGATGTGCTGCAAGGCAGACCCATCGCAAGTGTGGGAAGGCAGTCAACTGGGATTTGCGCATGTCTAAATCTGTTCAAATTCCCAATGTACATCCCATGTGCATGTACCTTTATATGACCACAGCTTGCACACAACACTTCTCTCCTTTATGCTTCGTTAAATGCTCTTCCCCATGACAGTGTCCATTCTAACACTGCTTTTCAAACACTGAATTTGCTTTGAAGACAGATTCTGCTAGGATCAAAATGTCAGGCCCCCTTACTTTCTCAATTCACTCACTGCTTGTGCAAATTTACATGCATGTACCGGTGCAATTTTTAAGTCCTGTATTACGTCTAAATAACACGCACTGCTTCTTCCCTTTTTACTTGCTGATCCCCCATATTTTAAAGCAGAATTTTCCCCTCCCCTCCAAAATGACACTTTTATACAGGATCCATTTCTACATGTACAGGCACTGTTAACAACCTAATAATCCAAATTGTGATTGGCCGTCTTGTTTATGAACCGGTATACATGTAGCAGTACAAGTTTGTATGTATTACTTGTCACTGCAAGATTTTGAACCAGTGCTGTGTTTGAATGTCTCTTGGGCATGATATACCACGAGGCTATTTTTGACAACCCAGTTTTGGGTGACAACTTTAGTACATCTATGAAAACATACGCGTACAACTTGAATAACATTATTTTACATCGGGCAAATTGGACATCCGATTTTCTAATGCTTTCGAACACCCTTTGGAACCTGCAAACTGTTGCGTATTAAACTTGTAATGTACCGTACATCACATTAAAGCATACATGCAAAGAATGTCGTTTTTGAATAAAAACACAATGTTACAAATTATAAACAACATTTTGTCACTTTTTCTGGACTCTAGATGGAAAAGTTGAAAAATATATCCAGGGCAGTAATCAGAGGTGTGAATGGCTACTTAAAGCTGAAAACAGCTAGTAAGAAGCTGAAATGTAAAAAGTTCCCATACAATTGTACACCCAGGTGTACAGAAAAGCTGAAATTCTGGGTCAACATCCAAACACAAAAGCTGAAATCAGCTGAAAAGCTGAGTTCTCACACCCCCTGAGCAAGTAAACTGGCTTGGGCCTGTTCCCTTCAGAGAAAATGGAGGACTCCTCTGAGGAATGACCTTTTTTTATTTTGTTACATGTACCCACAGCATAATCTCCGGAGCCAGCAATTTTTCTTATTTGTTGGGACATCTGCCACCTTCATGGATCAAGTCCTCATTGCCATCTGATGCTGCCTGTTTTTTGAGTGCAAAGCGGCTGGCGTTCTGTGCTATTTCCTTATTTGTGGACGTGAACTACACGTATGAGGTTCACAGATGTTATGCGATAATTACCGTTTTTCTCCGGAAGACCGGCTAGTTGGACAGGTAACTCAAGATGGATGCACAGTGCACGCACAGTACATGTACCCTGACAGCTGGAAAGGCCATTAATCCATTTGAACCAGGTTGATAATGTAGTAAACCATGCCCCACACTTTTCTGGGAATTGTTGACGCGAAACCATTTCCCATGGAAACAGTTTTAGTCCATCAAAACTGCGATGTACATGTAGGCCGATGTTAAACGTTAGCAAGATGGGCTGAAGCTGTTGCAATTCTACACCATGAGTACCGAGGGCACACTCACAGTTTTACAAGTATGGTGGTTGACATGATTGAGTCTGCTATGTCTTGTGTAACAACTGCGTTCCAATTCTGGAAAATTCCTTTTCTTGAGGAATACAAGGGGGAATTCTTATCAAGTCCTATAAGGGAAGTTATTTGTTAGCATTGTCTATTTGTTCAAATTATCTGTCCAGTTTTCAAATTATGAGTCCAGTTTTTATGATGTGATAGAAATCTTGAAAAGCTTAACATTGCTACATGTACATTGTATACGATGTACCAATGGGAATTTTCATAAACTGATCAATTTGTGAGCAATTTAAAGATATGTTGATTATTGGTGAGCACAGTTAATGCATGATTTCAGGCTTCATCCAGAATGATAATGTACCCTTGACTGGCAGCCATCTAGATTTCCATGGAGACCAGCAAATGAATATCTCGACTCCTTAGCAATGCAATCTGCCAACCCCCTAAAAAGTTGTTACATGTATGTGCGACCACACTTGGAGAATCAAAATGGATGAATGGCTCACCCAAAAAAACAAACATGAAGAGTTTGGGGGATACAGATTCCAAGTTTCAGCCCGACTTTTCCAGGTAATGCCCACTGCAAGAAGCCATCGTGGAAGCATTGAGTAAACCTTTTTAAGCCCTGTGGGAATGCGACCAATGCTCATCGCAGACTGATGACGGAATTGAGCCACTATTAATCGCTAATCCAAAGTCAAGGCTTCCAAAAAAAGGGGAAAAAAAGGAAAGGGGCCTGTGAAATGTGATTCTCTGAAACGCTCGCTGCAGGAGATCAATTTGACCCTCCAACAAATGTAATTTTACTGGCTGACTTCCCAATTCACTTCTAAAAAGCCATGAGACATCCATGGCCAGGCAAAGGAATACGTGTACATGTTCATAAGCTGACAAAGGGCAAAAGCCAACTGAACTCATTTCTGATCGTAACGCATGTGCACGGGCCGTGAACACTAAATAAAACATAAATGGTACGATAACACATGTAAATGTACACATAAACTGGTGGACAAATTTGTTTTGCCGTAGAACCAGATTTTACATTTTCAATATCAGTATGCAATATCAATTCTCACTTCAAGTGATATAAATACATAGCAATGTACACTCTATGCGTCTGCAATTTTGTACACTGTTGCATGCTAAAATGTATAGATGTACCGGTACAGATGTACATCGCATATCACGTGCATACATGTACATGTATACAGTTTCCCTTGTGCTAAGAGAACCTAAATTTCCCATGTTTGCAGAACCTACATTTCTGCTTCAAGTGATATGAAGTATTCTTAAGAAGACACATCAACGCCTCTTTACTACAAAGAGATTTCATTTGTAATTAATTAAAGTACCGGCATTGTGTCCTGATGATGGATCAAGCTTCAGCCAGAGTGACTGAACCAGTCCCAAGGCATGACCGTCCTTGAGTGACTGGCATCTTCAGTTGCGTGAAATCCTATTGCTATGGCAACAGTTCACCCTCGGTCACATTATTACTTTGATCCAAGACAGCATAGTATTCATGGCAGAATTAGGGTTCCCCCCCTTTCCTATAGCGCCTTTTTCTGAGCACTAGTTTTGTCCACAATTGTACTGGTGGTGAAATTTCTAGTGCAGTGAAACTAGTCTTGTTCAAAGAAGTTTGGCCAAAACAGCTGGTTCATGCTTCAGGCGAATGCGACAGAGATGCAAATCGGACATCACAAAATGTTTGCGGCCAAATCACATATCAAAATGTATTCAACCGAAACTGTGATTTCGAAAAGTGAGGCTTGATCTGATGTCACAATATCGCACCTGTGTTTATTTTTAAACCATGTACTGTATGTGAACCAACATTTAGAAGGAAAGTCTGAAAAAAGTCAGAGAACAGATACACTGGGTCATCATCTGTAAAGTAAGAGCACAATGTACGCTCTTTCCATTGCTCACCCGTACATGAAATAATCATGATCTCAGCCACTGCCTTACCGTCAAGCTGAACTGCGGTGAAACCAGAAAACCAATGGACCTCCACACAAACCGTATGTTAGACCAAGTGAATGCAGTACCGACACCTGTGCACATATACTTGTAGATGCAGGCCTATGCCACCTAAAGACAGTCTCTGCACAGTATGCTCACCAGATGGAGTCAAACACACGTGTGTGGATTAAGGCTTCTTAATAGCCTACCAGTACATGTACCCTAAGACACTTTTTTAAATGGTACACTACAAAGTGTGGGAGGTCACGAGCACTTGCTGTGTACCATGTGTGTGTATTGTTTTTCTTTCTTAATGAAAATGAACTTTCAACCTCAGTACCGGTAACTCTCAGTCCTAAACAATAACTTTAAACAATCCCATTATCACCGTATGTACCCAACTGAAATTTTTTGGGTAATCTTAGGGCAAATAACAGGTGTTCATCCCACGTTCCAACAAGTTTAAGACAGAAGTTAAACCCAAACATATTATCAGGGTGTACTAGTGTATTGTCTTTTTAATCTGGATACAAATTTCTGCCTTCAAATTATAAAACAAATACTCCAAGGCAACAGACAAAGTGAAAAAAGACAAGGTATGCCCCCGGAAAAATAAATTTAACTCCAAAAAAAAAATTTACACAGGGTACCAACTGTATTTAAGCTACTAGCACAAGCACCATACTGTATCATTTTTATTAATGGAAACAGCTGGTGATTTCATTTACAGCACCGCAGCTTGACTGACTAAATCCACTTTTGTTTAAAGAAAAGGCGCATGTGATAGGTCAACATGTTTGATGTTGGCCGTAACTTCAACTTAAGCTTGATTCATCATTTTAAACAACGGTTTAATAGTGAGATTTGTTTTAAAAACAGACGGAGAAAACAATTGGTGTGGTACTTACAACTGGTTCAGACTGGCACTTGAAGACATAACACATGTAGCTAGATGAGGACGTCTTCTCCCGGCAGATGAAGCCAAAGAACTCTGGCTGTTTGATGCCCTGGAGCGGAAGAGGACAAAAATACAGTGTTGCTTACAAGTTAATGCAATTTGGTGACATTTGGTAAGATGTCAACTTCTCTTCTTGCACCTATCTTTTTGATTCTTCGTCATATTTTCCCCTCCGTGTTTGTGTGGATGCAACGGGAGATTTTGAGACGCTTGGTGGCGGCAAACATACTTGTAATCTTTACCAGTTCTGAGCACGTGCGCATTGTTCTGAGCATGTGTGCGGAGTTCTGAGCATGCACAGTACTGTGGGAAAGGGAACGACATGTCTGCTGCCACCAGCATATCAGAGTTTCTCATTTTAACCAAGCAAAGGGAAGTCAGTTCTGCAGTCAGCTGATACAATGTGCACCCTTCATACTATGCATTATGTACATATTAAAGGGCAAAAAAGTTTGGTTCCATTTACATAGCATTTGAAAATTTGGGGGACTTTTTGTTTACATTTATTCAGTGTAGAGCTGAAAATAACAGCAAGAGAGACCAGGTGGCATTTGTTACAAAAGTCATGAGCAACAGTTGAAAGGGTACTAGTTATGTAAATTTAAAAGTCCATTGAATCTTTTTGCCCCAAAAGTACCCCATTCAAACTAAAATAAACCAATATTTCTTTTATTTCCAATCTCACGTTTTCCCAAGATCCCCCCCTAAATTTAGGGTTGCACTGTCCAAACAGGCTAGGTGCTGTAGACAGGTAAACAGGAGGCATAAAATACATGTACATGTATGTGTATTTGGGGGGGGTTCCTAAATACCCATGTTGAAACTGCTGTGGTGCACTTTTTGCCAGACAATCATTCAATATGTGAACTGAAAAGCTGTTAAATACAATAATAAATACTGTATTCTGTTAATCGTTCTAGACAAACTAGATTCTGTATTGTAGTACCTTATTATTGACTGTGTCAGTTAACTGGTTAGTGTTTTGAGAACAAGATCAGTTTCCCACTTAACAGAATGAGAAAAAGGCAAATATCATTATCACTATTGTATGTACCAGTATGTACCTGCTGGAAAAGTGATGTTGTGATATCATAGATGTTTAGGCATTAGCACAAATTTTTGAACAAGTTGGCCAATTACCCCTATAGACGTCTATGATGCGGAAGATACATTATACATGTAATTAAGACAAATTCCAAGATGGGAAAAATTTCAAAAAAAGTCAAAAATACTTCAATGCGTCAATATTTAGACCTCCATGTAAGTAAATGTACATGGGCATAGTAATACTGAATATCTTTTACTCAATCTCTTCTTCCATGAAATTCAATCAATTTTCATTTCAAATCCTGCACTTGATTCTACTTTCAAGTACTGATCCCGATGCTTGGAAACACAATATGACAAACTCTTGAGTTTGATGACACTGCCACAGGAAAGCTGCAAGAAGGAATTGAGACAAATTACCCCCAAGGTTACAAATTTCATGATATGCAGGCACAGGTATACCTTTTAGGCAGACATGCCAGATGTTAGCAAGTATGCGTGTGCCATACATGTATTTGTACCGTCGGTATCTGGCGGCATTCAAAGACAAGTTGAAAGAAAATGCACACATTAGCCAGCGCCATTGACGGTACGGAGATAAATTGCAGGTTTATTGGATTGTGGGGAATTTATACACAGCAGCATACAGTACATGAAGGATGAGCAAGTGAAGGGCTCTGCGAACCGAATGAAATGACATGAAAAGAACCTTGGGCGTCTCGGCATGCACAATTTAACATTCATTTCTCGATCCAGAGTGTCAACATTTGTATACACTGTTCACACTACACCGGTACATGTGCACTAAAGCTTATTTTCTATCAGGACATTTGTAAAAATGATAATGTACGGTAAACTCTGTGAAAGAACAAATGGATCTTGCTTTATTTCCTTTCCTTAACTTTTCTTAATCATTGCTCAAATTTGCCGGTGCATGTACATCTCAGCTTGAAGCAAATACCATATTATTCCTCAGTCCAACCAGTACCCTCCCTATTCCCTCCCATGGCATTAATACAAATGTACATGTACATCAATAATGAAACCGTCGCCTTAAAGCTGTAAGTAAGGGTGTTACTTTTGGACGGGTGGCATCATACTGTTATGTTCGGGAGGCATTGGGTGATAAAACTATCCAAAAAGTAAACTTGATGCATGTAGCCGTCACTTTGAGTCAGTTTTCAGGTTTCGGGGTACTTTTCGTAGGCCTTGAAATTTACTTACTGTATGAGTAGCCCGCAGTAATAGCTACTCGATGTGAGGTTTTGGAAATTATTTTAGAAAATTAAAGTACTGGTAATTCTCTTCTTTGTAATGTACATGTACATGTATTTTTGGAAAGTCATTTTTTCACTTCAAAACTCAATGACCTCCCACCCACCCCCCCAAAAAACTAAAACTGTACTTAAAAATGTGCAATTTGCATGTAAACTACTGAAACTGTCATAAAAATTGCTTTAAACATACATATGTTGTCCAATGAGCAAATTTGATTACAATGAATAAAAAGCAAATTCAAGAGCTATAACCCTCCTTAGAATTTATCTTAAGCACATTATTATATTTTACTTGTCTACACTTAAAAGTCAAAGGCGAAGGAAATGCTGAAAATTATAATTCTCAGATCTATACTGTACATGTACAGTATGTAATGTACATGTACAAGTATACATAGAAATCTACATGCCAGGATTTGAAAATTTCACTTTTTCCTTGCAAGCGGACTACTCTATTCACGCGACCGCATACTGTTGGCATTACCCTCCCTCAAGTTCCACATTATCCTCAGTAATTCCACAGTGCCCAAGATGCTGCTGTCTGTCAGCAGACTGATCCCTAAATCAATTTGACAGTCTCAACCGGTGATTTCTCGCCCTGCAGTGCCAACAGCCTAATAATATTGAAACAGAAAAGAAAAAACCTTCCAATCCAATCAGGGGCTGATTGAGTCACAATTTGTCGGCATCCAACTGTTAAAGAGGGGTTCAGACATTAATTAAAGCCCATAAGGTTATTGCACCGGTGAGTAGGCTGGTAGGCTGGCTATTTGGCTGAATAATCGTGCTGTGTCCTTAAATGATGAAAGCTCGGGTAGAGCGAGAAGGAATCCCCACGTCCGCAATGCTAGCCAAATTATTCAACAATCAAGTCTTGGGGACACTCTTTACACGGGAAACCACTCTAGTAAATTAATCACACTGTAATTGGTGAACACTTCGAAGGGAAACCTGGGCTTAATTTGGTAAATGTTCAGTAAAATTTTCAAGCATTGTTTTTGGTCAGACATGGGCGATGCGGTGAGCAAACATTTCAGGCTTTGGCTGTGCAGTGAATTGAAAACATTACAGACAACTTATTTTATTCAAAGCATATGGCATTAACATGTACCGTACATGTAAACGACGAAATATTGATTTAAATGTCTGTTTAAACATTTTTTGTTTGAACAAGAGAGTAGCTATCCCAACCATGGTTATCTCTTTCATGTACTGGTTACGGTACATATACATGTAAAAGATGGCAATATCCAAGTGTTTTTCCCTAGCACTGATGTAAGACCTTTCCACATTCATACGATGAATTGATGGGAAAAAGTAACAGCCATAGTCATGAAAATACATCTTGGACATAACCTGACATTCGAGGATGCATCTCGCAGAGGACTGTGAGAGATTTGGGCTCCAACATGCAAAGGATTTGGGCAAAAACGGCACAAGTGGTTTGACAGAAACTGATTTGGATAATCCAATCATTTCTGATGGATTATTCTTGATAAATTTAAAATGGATGTTTATTTGTGAACTTGTTTCTGTAACTTTCCTCTTCTCAAAGAGACATGTACACTGTAGTCTCAGTCACATGAACAGCAAGAACTTTGGTTTCCATGAGTTTGGCATGCACACTGCTGTGACATGTTCCAACTACGGTACATGTATGTTGTATGAATGCCTAAACCACATCAATAAACTCGCTGATTGAAATTTGCTGGTGACAGAGCCGCAATCAATTCCCATTACCAAGCCCCAATGACATGCACGATGCTAACAACAAAAGAGAGTCCTCATCGGTGCAATCAAAGCCAATGAAGGTCTTCTGGGCACAGTCTAGTTTGTGATATCGACTGCATTCACTGAACATCAAGCATGTACACCGTACACGTACATACATGTACGTCATAGTGCGCAAACTTGTACATGTACATGTGTCACCAGCACATTAAGCGCAATTTACCTTACATGTACATGTGGGTATAAAGTATTTGCAATGACACTCTACAGCTCTAAATCCGGGTACAGTGCAGGTCTGGGTAATAACTCAAAATTTAGTTTCTCTATTTCCACAAATTAAATCCAAGTTTTCCACTTTGGTCAAATACAGAGCTTTGAAGTTGCAGCACCTGGAAAGTAAACAATGAGTAAGCAATTTCAAGATAAAAAGGAGTGTAAAAAATTACAGTTTGTTAATGAACTGTTAATGCCATTTATGTAAACTTACCGGACATGTAGGGGACAGTATTTCATACATGTAGGGTACATGTACATGTACCGGTAGGTTAGCAGTATGACAACCCCCCTCCCCCAAAGAAGCAAAACCAAAACTTGAAATCCCCCAGCATCATTTTCTTTTATCTTCTTCCCTTAATTTCTCTCCCTTTTTTTCTTTTTCTTTCATTTTGCTTGTTGAAGTTCAGCCACGATCTGGGTTAAGATCTTAAAATCCACCTACATGCAAAAGCCGGACAATCAAAACAGACTGGATGTCTGACTTGTTCCCTTCATGTAACCTATACAATGCACATTACTCTGGTTTCAATGCAATGTAGAAAGCTGAAACTTGATACTGATTGGTACTGTGAACTGCAAGGGCAAGAGCTTTATTCTTGACCAAACACAATCAAATGAGTCCCAATTTTGGCCAGAACTGCATGTACATGTAGTTTCAAGTTACAAGAACTCGGTTCAAGTTCCAGGCCTCTGAATAAATGGCTGCATGCTGAAAGTCAGTTTCAACAGTCAGTACTTCCAGCCAAATGATTCATCAGGATGTCAAATTTACATGTAACTGTACATGTACATGTGCATGCCTAAGTGCTTGGAATGTCCGTTCTATTGCACAAACAAAATGGTTCTTTTAGCTTTTAATAGACCTCAAATGACTGTGCTGTACTGAAATGAAATTGGCTCATTAGGAACATTTCCACATGTACACATGTATCACACAAACATGAGCTTCTCTTTTTTCTTGGCACTAGGATAAAGTCCGGAGTACCAGGAACACTCATACCAACTCTGTTTTCTCCCCCATAATTGAACTTTGAAAAAGTGACTTGTTTACCAACACACTTAGCCTGGTGTGTGTCAATTATTACAACCTTCCTTATCTCTTTGTGTACATATGTACACACCTAAATCAACAAGGAAGCTGAAGAAAACAGGCACACAAAGTTGTACAATTGCACATACCGGTAACTCATACTTGGGGGGAAGGGCGCACAGTATTGAACTCCATATCATAATCAAGTCTGAGATATTCTGACCTTGGGATAAGTCTGTTGAGATCTACCACCAGTATGTAAACATTATGTACTTTTATTAGCAAACCAACTTAGCCTCTGATCTCGTATTGTAGAAAAGGTTTACATGTATGTACTTACATGTACATGTACAACGTATCATTGACATTATGCAATTTTAAGAACATTTCAAATTGCATGCACCTGTGCATACACATACAGGTAACTTTATGAAATTTTCCACAAAGCATTGAAATGCCCTCTGACCTTGGATGATAAAAGGCAAATGGGAGCAATGCAGAAGATATTACATGTACATGTTTGCTGAGGCTTGCGTCAGTGCATGCTGTAATGTGAAATACAAAACCTGCTGCAAAGTACTCACTGGTTACGGTGACCTGAAGTGTAAAAAGTCAGAGGGCATTTCAATGCTAAAAGAATCTTTCTCAAAGACACAACCTTTGAGTTGACAAATTTAACAAACTTGAATTCTCTAAACTGTACAATGCCCACTCACAAAACGGAGGGCCCCGGGGTGGGTTACAGAAACAACAAAATCTTGCTTTAACTCTTCAGCAGGATGTGCAACATATCAAGTACATGTACACGTAAGCATTCCGGTACATTTACAGGAGGCTATTAAAGCAGAAATAAACAACACGCAACTGGACTAAATTTCATTTCCAGATGTTATTCCACATGGTGCATTTTCGTCTCAAAAAAGGCTTGGGTTCCAGCAACTGAAAGGACAACAAATGTCCAGGTTTACTTTCCATATTTCACAAAATTATGAAAATCCATGACCTATCCTAAGGTCTAGTTGATCAAAATGTGAAATGAAACTGTAAACTTGTTCCAGGAAAAACGCGGGAGACAGTTTATACTTAAGCTGGGTGCCAGAACACTCAAAATCAAATTGCCTGTACCAGCAAAACTTGACTGTTGAGGTGTCATACCAAAAATAATACAATACAATGTATGTGTGACCATTATAGGAAAGTACATAAATTGTAATAAGACATTACTCGTGGAAGCATACATGTATGTCTGTGCAAAGTATAGAGAGTCTATACCGTACATAAAAAAATGTTCGTCATCTTGTTTACAACATGCGACCTTGGGGATGTTGGGCTTTCTGGGACAGTACCGGTAGGTGGAGTCACTCTGGTGTAGCAACATGTGCCCTACAAGGGGAAACCCCAATGTTTCCCAATGATACCCAAAAAGTGAGAAGTCTTGAGACCCTACATGTAGATGTGTACATGTATGTCATTGGAAAATCAGAAATGGGAGGCCCCTTGTCAAATAGGGTCACCACATTTCATGGTAGAATGACTGGTCAATGTACAGGTACATGTACATGTACGGTATATCCCTAAAAGAAGAATTCCTTTTGGAGTTTAATTCAGGCTATTTGATCGCAGATAAATAACATTTTGAATGGGATTTGTTTAGCAATACCGGTATTACAAAACAGACATTTCTACTGGGGAAATATTTGATCAAAATTGCATTTTCTCTTCAAAAGTGTAAATTTGAGTCAAATGTACATGTATTGCTAGTTGAGAGATTTCTTTTACTTGTACTAATGCCTTTCTGACCCTGTATGTACATGTATGTGCAGAGACTTCCTTGATCTCTTGAAAAAAGAAATAAATAATTTCAGGTAGGAAGGAACTTTGGACTTCTGCTGTTTGGACAAGGACGGAAATGTGTTGCTTTCACCTTTCTGATTCCAACCTTTTTATTCATGCACATGTACAGGTACAGGGTGTACGTCTCCATCATGTGCCTTAGTAAAATCATCAGAAATGTGTGGAAATTAATGAAAGAGGACTTTAAACTCAACAAGTCCACAGCTGAATAGCCGTGTGCACTCACAAATTTTATGGCAGACCAGAGTATAGCGTGTCCTTTGCCAAAAGCTACCCTGCAGGATGAGTTCTCCACCATGGAATACGGACGTCATTCTTTTTTTTTCTTTCGGATAACGTGTTGGATTTTTTTTTTTGCCACAGGCTATGACGTAGTAACTGTATTGCAAGATGGGGAAAAGAAGTTGTCTCAAGATGCAAATTTCCCAGTTAATCTCCACTGAAATGCCACGGCCGCCCTGCAGATCTCATGAAAGAGAAAGGGGAGATAGTCGAGTCTGCATTAAAAGAAGTCAGAGGTTGTTTCCTGTGGGGATGGAAATGCCATCGAATTACAGGATCTTTAGAGCGCCGCACATACATGTACATGTACATTCCAGTGAGGAAGGAACTCATTTGGGGCCTGCTGTGTCGGAAATTCACCGTTGGGAATCTAATCACGACTCGCTGGATGAGCCTATGCCACAAGCAAAACGAACAGAATTCTTTAATTTTGAGCTGTACTTTTTGGCATTTTTTCTTCTTTGGCGTAAGAGGAGTTCATTAAACTATATACAAAAAATTATCAGCTACGTGTGTGACAATATTTTTATAATCATTTTTACAACATTCAAAAATAATGATTTGATTCATTTGTCTATGTACATTGTAGGCATGGAGTATTCCCAAATTAAATTTTCAGAAACAAACAATTTTCAACAGAAAGCATGGTCGTATTTGAAGCAAATCAAATGCTATGTTACATTCAGCAATTATGGTTATGAAAAGTGGTTTAATCCTTTGATCTAAAGAGCACTTTGTTTGAATTGTTTTGGATTTGTTTGGGCTATTTTAAACTATTTGATTTTAATGGAAAAATAAGCAATTTCCAACTACAATGCATCACAAGATGGACATGTAAATGTACCTGGGTACGTATGTATTCTAAGCAATGAGAAACGGATTACTCGCACTGTAAATGCACGTGCATACCGTACACACAACATTTCCTTGAACAAATTAATAGGCTGTTGAAGGGCTTCAAAGTGATGTTGAGAAAATCATGTACATGTACAGTACATATATGCCCATGTACATGTACCAATAAGGGTCGTGAAGAAAATAAACATTTGAGGAAAATAATGAGCTACTGACGGGATGCAGGGAAGAGTGGAATGATTGTCTCCTAGGAGACAGAGGGATGATCACAGGCAGGAGATGACAGGATAGTAAAGGAGCCACAAACATAGGATGATGGGACCATGGGTAATGTCAAGAGATATGCATTTCACATAAAATGTTAAAGGTTACAGTTGAAACCATCACTATAAATCGTGATTACAGTGATGGACGTTAAATGTTACAATGACACCAAGTGGGCCGATTAGTGATAAATATTGAGGATGAAAATGTAATGAAAATTTCTTGAGATCCCAAATCAGGAAAACTCACCTGGGAGCAGAACGATATTTCGTTAAACTTCTTCGTCAGCATAAACGATTTTTTGTCTGGGCTGATCAGTGTCAACATGGACTTGCCTATCTGGAACAGCATCGTTCGATTGTGGCCGCTCGTCACACTCTCGCCGTTTGCTGCGGTTGATGAGATGGAAGCAGTCGACGACGTTGAGTCGGTGTGCCCCACGTTGTGGTGTTTCAGCACGGCCGCCCCGGCTGATGACACCCGGTCCCTGGCTACGGGGGAGAGCTGGGTGTCTTGCTGGCTGGCTCGGCTGCTATTGCTGGCCGTGTCTCCATCGGTGTCCAGGACATTAGGAGGGGAGGACACCAGGGAATCTGAGCTGACCGAAGACGTGGTATCCTCAGAGCTCAACCTGTCCGACTCCGTCGAACCCTCAGGGGGTTCGCCAACCGGTGATGTCCCGTTCTGATCCCCGAAGGAGAAGTGGCGCTTGCGGGTCCCCAGTCTCTTCTTGCGCGTCTCCATTTCGTGCACGTTAAACTTCTCGATGGTGTCATCGATGAGGGTGGGCGGGGCACGCTTGTGGGTGACAGTCACGCGACCGCAGTACATGACCTCAAACATCGTGGCGTTGTTGATTCGCAGGTTCTCAATTGCCTCCACACCAGCTTTTTCTTCTTTGCTGAAGACGTCATATTTCACTGCCTCCTTTGATGCATCACGCACAGAGCTTGCAATCTGATGAACCTGTAATGTGCATACCGTGTATTAATTTACAATGCATAATTCCACAGGCAAATGCCTGTAGTTATCCAAAGCCTTTAGACACTCCAAACTGTGTGTGAACAAGAAAAATGTATACAGTACACATGTAAGTCCCCAAAAAAAACATTTGATACCTAATCTCTGCATGTACATGTATTCTTTCCAAGTCTCAACTGGTCTGATCAAGCTTTATTCCTATCCAAAAGGTGCCTGACACTGGTAATGGTGTTCCCCTTGGCTATCATGGCAATCATGGCAGCGCATGACAATAACAGTTACATGTATAACAGATGTTTTATCTGCCCTAGGCTACGTGTGCATTGACTGTGTTGTAACAAATCTTAGCCAATACTGAAACCCTTTTGACAACTTATGAATATGAAAAAGTACATACATACACATAGTTACGATAATTTGCAAGACAAAAATGGACATAAAACTTGTACATTCTGCATGCATGGTGATCACACATCCTAATGTATAATTCAACATCCAGGCTCTACAATAAAACAGTTCAAACGAAAGAATTAATTGCACAGTCTATGTACATGTACAATGTGAATGCATGAGACTCAGTACACATGAATGCTAGATTGTGTGCGTACATGTATGGCATGAATGTATGGAACTGTCAGTTTTCACCAGAATGAGCACAATCCTGAAGTAGGGCCTATGGTTTAAGGATGTCAGTATACAATATATATTAGAACTTACAACTTCTGGATCTGATGTTTCAAAGACAAAGCAGTGGAAACTTGATTCACTGTCGGGTCTCCATAAATAAGCAAAACACTTCTTGTTGTGTCCCCTGGAGAATCGTGTGATGCTCTGGGGCAGATGCTCAAAGACAATGGATCCTTTGCTCTCCGAGATGCCAATCGCACCCCTGGAGGAGACTTGAAGGATGAGGTTTTGTCCGTTCCCTGCCTGGCGCCGCTTGTTGGCTATGATCCACGGAAGCATGGGCTGGGTAATGCGTCGGTCCAATTGCACATTGCCATAGTATTTCATCTTGAAGACTGCCTTGGTGGTGCCTCCGCCTCCCGATGACCCGCCACCGCCTCCCGCTCCATCCACTACGTCCCACCCCTTCATGATTACCGGGTGGGTGTCCAACATCTTGCTCCGCCTATCCCTGGGGATGGAAGCCAGCGAGGTCCTCATCTTCATCTTGCTGGAGTCGGTCATGTCGCCAATGATGCTGTCTGCCTCTTCATGACTTTGGTGATCACTGGCGTTGCCGTTGTTGTGGGATGCAGTGTTCGAAATTCCTGATAATGAATCTGCTGAACCAACTGATGCTACTGGCATGGTGGCTTCCTCGTCTGCCGATACAACAACCGGTGCAGTGGTGGTACGTGCCGATTTGGTTGAAAGTGGATCAAGAGTCGCCTTTTTATTTATTGTGCTGTCTACAGAACGTGTCCGATCCGCAACATCACGCCGATTGGGTTGTTTACCGCCTCCTCTGAGTCCGCTATCCACGGACAGCGCTTTTTTGGTACTGGCTAAGGGAACGCGCTGAGACATACTGAAATTTTTCCTCCTGCCCTTGTGTCTACTTAAGCTTCTCCGGCGGTTGGGCTCAAGCGGTGAATTCCCCCGCCGTCTTGATGACACAAGGCGGTGTGAGTCACGCACCTCCAACTGTTTCTGTACTACTGCTGTTTGTGTAGTTCGCCATCTTCGTGTTTGTCCTCATCGAGTGTTTTTCAAATGCAACGTGCAGATGAAAACTAAAAAATAAGTAGTTCAGTTAAGTATGTAAAGCTTGAAACTCAAGTCACCTACACGTAGATCTGCATTCATATAGCTAGAATGTTCATAACTGACGATACTGTGTATTTTCACGGAGTTCCTTTCGATTAAAGTAATATATAAACTGTTTCAGCATTTGACGCCAACTACACGTACATTACGAATTAGTTGCTCGAGTGACAATCCACCCCTTTTTATTTCAAGTGTTGATAACCATCTGTGATTATTGCTTGTCCTTTCTTGTTGAAAAGGTCACATGTTCAGTGATGGTTGAAAATCGTGTGGACTGTAACTGTAGTTTGACATTTTAAATAAAAACAGACCAGGGACATATTTTCATAAAAAAACTATTCCCCCCCCCCGAAACCAAAACCTGCGGATGACAGGAACAGAAAGTGACCTTGTCCGACACGTGCACTGCGCGGGCCAGCTGCGATTGCGGTTTGACGTCATTGTCTTGTTCATAAACATTTCATTTGGAAGTACGGTGGCACTATCGGAATCGCTAAATTTCGAGTGACAAATATGATCCTTCTGTCTGAAGTGTGCTCGTTCACAAAACACCATTCCGTACGGTGTGTTCCTTCCTCCATGGTTTACCGTGGCGACATTTATCACTGGGTTCCCGCCGTGGTGCCGTTTTTCAAGATGTATCCTCTTTGAGGGGGGAGGGGGGTAGGCCTATATAGCTGAGGGTGGTTTCAGTGAAATCGTCACCTGCGCCCGATGCATGACAGTACCCAAAGCCTTCCACGTTTAACACTTTTAACCAAAATTATATTTCTTTTTTTCAAGACAACCATACGTTGTTCAAATGTGCTTGCAAATAAAATTGGTTCATGATCGCGGAGAAGAAAAAGAAGTTGGTCAGGGTGAAGATTGCAGTAACTTGAACTGTAGATTTGTTCCTTCTAAAGAAAGTTTGTGATAGTGCCCTTCAATTTGAATTTTTGCCCCATATCACTCAGTTATCCAATTTAAACCAATGAGCTCACGCAGGGCGCGTATCTGGCAGGAAGCAGATTAAGTGTTCAAACAGGCGCGAAACGAAATGAGGTCTAGTTTGAGAGAGCCACAATCCCCAATCTTCTTTTATCAAGTCACTTTTCTGGAGCCATAATGGCGCAGGTTTGGTGGGCTAGGGGATAAATCAAGCAAAATCATGGGGGGGGGGCTTCTGCCCTCTCAAAAACCAAACCACAAGTTCGTCAAGAATCAAGACTCATTTTTACATTATCTATGAGAAGAAGCTCTTTGTCTTCAACAGCTTAACGGGGTCAAAATATGTAAAACATATATACTTTTCACCCAAAATTGGCGGAGTGCTGATGTCAGACGCTTAAACTCAGCGGCTTATTTCAAAGTTGTCGACCCGCATGGGCGAGACGTATATCGGGTTCTGTAATACTTTTTTTAACATGAATACCGTAAATTATTCACGTATGTATGGTGAAAATCAGGTGTTCTCCCAACAGCAAAAGGGGAACATATAACCCCCTCCGGGGGGGTCGGCGGGGTGTTTGTGGGCACAGAAATACTTCTGCAGTCACAGCCGATATGCGCTTGATTTTAGGAAAACACCCTTGTAACGAATATAGCAATGATACATCGACCAACATTCCATTGCGATATCATCATCCAAGCCGATTGTGTTCATCTGCAGTTAATCGCTGTTGATACGATTGTAAAAGATGATGCAGAACAAAAACCGCGGCGCGCTGCAGGGAAGTTCAAGCAATGACGCACAGAAAGGAACATATATTTATAAATACGCACGCGTGTGTAAAATTTCTTGGGGTTGACACCGTGACGCATGCTACGAAACACGATCTTAATTGATGAAAGCGGTTGGAAGGAAGAGGGGAATAGAAAGAAGCAGGGGGGGGCATAGCGGGATGGTAACTAAGCTTACTTTTTGTCCAAATATGCGAGATTGAAAAACAAGCTTTCAAGTTTGTTGGGGTGTTTGTTTGTTTGTTTGTTTTAGATAGAAATAGCAGCGTTTAGTGTTACAATTTTTAACCAACAGACCGACCACTGAAAGACCAAACCAACAAGGAAGTCACAGACGGGTATGCCTGTTACCCAGCTGTAAGCAAGATATCTTATGATAGATTGATTCGTCATTGTCAAATACAAATTTGTCAAAATGATTTACGGTAAGGAACAAAATGCTGAGCTAGCTGGTCGTTGACGTTCTACATTGGAGTTGGAAGAAAAATCAGAAGAAAGCGTTTGACAAATTTTAATCAATAGGCCTAACTGGAATGTGGAGTGTCCTTGCCCCCATGGCATATTGGTTCAAAATGACACACATTTCGCATGAATTGAACGCCACAAAGACTCAATCACTGTGTGCCAAGGACAAAAACTGCTTAATTCAATTCCGCGATGATTTTGTTTGTTCCAGAGGGCGCAGGCTAATAAACCGCAAAGTCTGACTGGCGGATTTATTGTTGATCGACAGGTTGTGGTCGGCTTCTCCGCCGTTATCCATTCCACCAAAGTCTGGCACCTCCCATGATAACCACAATCTTTGCTGATCATCAGGAGAATCATGACTGCAGCCGACTATTGTCCTACCGTCTAATAACAAAGGTGTTATTGTTTTGTATGGGCGTCCAAAGGGACATGAAAATGACGTCGACGTAAAATATTGTGCCCATTGTCCAACTCGTGTGTACACAGAGGGTGCCAAGCAGGCCCGCCCTGATATGGCAAAGGCATGCCAAAACCGTACATCATTGATAAACTACGAAATAGGCCAACGTTTCCAATTTTATGTTTATTGCATTCTTTTGAAAAGACAACTGGACATAAACTACATTTTAATAGAAAAACAAACAACCTACATTGGCAAAACTACAAAATGTTCCCTGCTATGATTTAAGATGGACAGAGCACACTGTTTCTGACGACAGACAGAGCATGCTGTCCGAAAGTTGCGTACCCTTAGATTCTTTTCAGAACCTTGCACGATTCTACCGCAAACCTCTACAACTAACTTGCTACCCTCAACATGAGAAGCTTCAAAGCTCAAGATAATTCAATAAAAAAAGTTGTGGAAAATAAACGATTTATAACGAAATGCATAGCCACGGCAATTTGGAAAAATCAAGTTATTAAAAAGAGATCAGAACCTTAGAAACTCTTCAAAGTTTCTGGGAATGTTCAACAGATTAAGATTTCTGAGGAAAAAGATCAAAGGAACTGACACTTCAGGGGAAAAAAATCAAGCACCACATTCAAATCACACACGATGTCCAAACTCTAAGCGGTGAAATCAAGAGATCATAAGGCAAAACACACATCATAAACCCTAAAATATATTACAAATATTGAATGATGAAAAAAAAATGAAAAATGCTCTCAAAAATATCTTCCACTGAAAAATACATGTACTGTAATTTGTTTTTGACAAACACTTGTTCTAAAAATGTGCCTTTCTTAATCAGTGGTCTTGCACACGGAGAAGTATCCAAAATGTCCACAATTTTACAGCGAGTCTCTGTTGATCACAGAATCTTTTCCATACTTAACATTACTTTTACTCTTTAAAAAATGTGCACGAAGCTGTTTCCATTCACTAAACATGATCAGTACTATTGTAATTACCCTTTCTTTTTACCGCAATTGTGACCTCACAAGCAACGCACTTCTGTAATACAATTCCCACGATGTTTTGCCCAAACACTTGTGTTAAAAATAAATTTAAACGCCAGAAATATTCAAGCAACAAGGATAATATGTATTCTTAAAATGGTTACAATAATTATCGTCTGTGCAAAAATATATAACCACCACCAGCTCAAATAAATTACAACTAGATCTCAAAAAAACAGTACTTTAAATTAGTCCAAATCTATTTAAAAGTCCCCCCAAAATTCTAACGTACTTTCAATTTTAAACTTTAACAACTAAAAATCCTCAGTACTATATGCATGTATTTAATTTTATTGCTTCAACCAGTCACAAATCACGTAAGACCCATATTCTCCACCCATATTTTTTAAACAAAAACTCAAGGTTACAAATGCATTAGGCAAATAGATTATATTCTTATAAAAATTGGAAGAAGCTGCATTATACTTTTCTATACTGAAAACCCTACCAGGTTTAATATGGGCAATTCACAAAAGTGCTCCTCCAAAAGTTTGCAATGCATTGGCCAATCAAAATGTGCGAAATTTCAATGGTGCTCATCTTAAATAGTTATGCTGCCTCAGCAAAATGTGCAATGGCTGTTCAAGGTACGGTCCATCAGCAAATCTGATGAAGTTTCAGCTTAGAGAAAAACAATATTCTACGATTTAATTTCAGATTTTTTAAAAAAGCTGAGTCATGTTTTAAATTGTACCTGAATTCTAAGAAGTGCCTGTGGGTGTCAACGTTTGTGCATGCTTCCAAGGATAATTTTCCAAAAGTGTCTAGAGAAGCATTGCTGGAAACGCCCTCCTTTCGCTGATTTCTTCAAAATGGCAGCTTGCCAGAAAGAATAATGTTACAGGGAGTTCAGTCCTCTAACCATCTTTAAATCAAGTAGATTTCCAACATTAATTTGATCAGTTCCTTTCTGGATAACTGCAGTTAATGGGCTGTATCTTTAAAAAGTCTTACTGTATTTAGACTCCGAGTAACTGTTATGGGGAAAAAAATGTTAGACTTCAGCCTCTGTCTTTTCTAACAACAATGAAAAAATGATTTGCATTGATAGATATATTCACAAGACGTCACACCTTTAAACTCTCAGCACTACAGTCCTCTGGAAGTTACCTACAAAAACTGCAAGGTGCATAGAATACTGCATGGCAGTTAAATAAAAGATAAAATAAAGTACAAAAGAGAGTGACGGTAGCAACCGTGACAAGAAGTAAAGACGGATGGCTTGACAGGGGTGGGGCCTGTCCATTTCTTGGGGGCAAACTGGACAAAAGAAGAGGTAGTTGCACCAGCCTCTATTACAATAGACCTCTCTCTCGATCCATGTTTCAGTCAAAACACCAAAATAATAATTGTGACGACTAAATTTTACCTGAAAAAAAAAAAGCTTTCTTAAAAAGTGATGGGACAGATGTATGTTCTCAGGAAAAACTTGTAACTAACCAAGTGTGATATATCTATAAACACTGGCCACCCACAGGAATAGTGACCAACATGAGAGAGGTCTTCACATGTATATTTTTCTACTTAGGAAAGCAGGGATTCAAACGTGCAGAAAGCAAGTCACTTCAATTGTAAGAAAGCGGAGCAGCTAATGAGCTACCCATTCAGACATCAGGGGAGCCTGTCCAACTGAAGTGAGCTGCTGTCTTATGACATCCGACAGGCTGGGACTCTAAGGCTGTTTGGCTTTGGGGACAGTAAACCTGTAGGATTTTGTTGCATGAAGCAGGCTTCAACTGAAGCAATTGTACAAATTCTATAAGTTGCTGACAATGGTTGAACTAACTTAAGTCTCACTGGACTGTAAGTAGGAACCTTGCTAAATGCAGCAAAATTCAACATAGCTAGAATGAAAACCATGCTGAATGCAACACAAAAAAGCAACAACATGTAGCAGTGAATTTTGTTGTACTGTGCAGTGCACTGGACAACCACCATCCTTTCGCGCTATACAGTTCCATGTATTCTCTGCCACTTGTGTTGACTGGCGATTCAACTATGCGCAACAAATTCTGGCCACTGTTCCATTACGTTGTGTCTGGCATAATTGGGGATAAAGGGGTACCGGTTGTTCATCTGGATGGGCAATGCCCCACCACCATCAAGCCAGAGGGGCCACTTTCTCAAAACTGCTAAGCAGACAAATGTACTTTAAATAGAAACACTCTGCTTTGTGAAATGGCTTACCAGCCACGATACACTGAGTGATAGGCCTTTCCTGAATGACTTGGCTACGGCTTGAAATGACACACGATTCTATGGTGCTGGCTGTAGGCACTTCCCACTGAGTTGCACATAATCTTGAGCTGCGGCCAAGAAATTCAGACATGGCCATACTCCGTATGTACACTGTGCATAGTTTGGATCAATAACTTGGAAGCTCCTGAGCCAAAAATTTGTACCTACGTAAAAAGTAGGTTACCAACCAAATTTCACGCAGCTTTTATTGCTTTAAACTGGCAGTCTACAGATGGCAGTCTAGTATGTGCTAAGCACATATAATGTGCTATAGAGCTATATATTGTGCTCTTATTGGATAGTAAAATCCATGAGATAGGGCCCTGGTTCTCAGTCATTGCTACTAAGCGCATAAAATCACTTGGCACCTAATTACTACCCTGCAGATCCATACAGTGGAAGTGCAGTCAGGTTCCGCAGGATGAGATATTGTTGACTAGTCACTCTTCAACTGAGAAGGGAGGGAGATTGCGATCACTACGTCAGCAAAGTCGTACGTGACAAAGCCATGGTAGAGGATGTTGGTAAGCACCACGATGTACTCAAAGAATGAGAAGACGGTGTAAGCTGCACGGAAGGTGAAAAAAACGTAAGTCCAAGAAATGACTTCTACTTGAAAACTGACTGTCTTCGGGAACAACAAAATCCCAGCTTTGTCTTCAGGTTTCCCTCGAGCTTCTTGAATTCCAACCACAAAATCTAGAAGACTATGGCTCAGTGTGGGGGTATTTTGCTCTGAGAAGTCTCATATCTCAAGCATATCTGAAATGGGGAACTTCTGCATAGGCTGCGGCTGTTCTCTGCACAGTTTGAATGGCAGAAATTATGCCAATGGCACAGTCACAGCCACTAACAGCAGATTGGAATGCAAGTTTAGCCTCATTACCTGCTGCACCACCTTATACATAAATGTAATGCAGGATATAGTCAGGGACTTGAACGAAGACATACATTTATGTATCAAATGACATGAAGTGCAAGTAATGATTGCATTTCAGCTGCTGCTGGTCAACAACTGAATGGCATCATTCCAGAGCATTAGCTTTCACTCTCTGAAAACTTTTCCTTTGTAACATTTCCCAATCCTCCAAAATCCTGTTTCGTGCAGGAAAGTAATGGTGTATTTCTTGTGCTGTAAATCTTGAAGGGGCATCAAGCTCCAAACAAAGTAAGAGTGGCTGAGTCAGCGGTCACATTTTCCACAGGTTCTGGTCTACTAATAGAAGTACTTTTCGGTGTAGTGAATTGAATTTTACCGGACAGGGTCAGAGCACGCACGGGAACTCACCATATGGCTTACAGCGGTATCGATGTACCATGTAACAGGCTGCAGCAATGAGGAAGCAGATGATGTTGACGGCAAAGCAGATGTACTTAGCTCTCAGGGACTTGCGCTCCTGTTGGTAAAAAATAGACACATCTCGTGAAAAGACGTAAAGAGCAGCAAAGCAGTTGAAGCCACTAATACCTCAGAATCGGGTCATATTTTCGGACATGGCAAGATGTTGAAATAACTGTAGTCTGCTGAAATGCTGTTTGTGTGTTTTCTATGCATCGTGCCCAGGAACATGTGGCCAGTAAGCTGAGAAAAGGCCCACTAAGCAGGCGCCGGGTGTAAACTACATGTGGCAGATTTTCCACAGAATGTGCACAAATGTGTGTACCATTCATGTGTGTGTAGTTTGATTAAGAGAGGTGGCAAAGAACACATTACATGCATGCAGATGCTCACAGTCTTGAACTACTCTACCCCAGAGGGCAAGGTACGGTGTATTTTTGTCTTTTATTCCTATGTTAACACTCTCCAATAAACTTTTATCATACTTATATGGGTAAACAAAATGGGAGTCGTTTTTTGGGGGAAAAATGACATTACCCCCCTCCCCTGGGACCCAAGACCAGAATTGCCAGGAAAGGTTGGGATGACTATAAGCAAAGGCATACAGACCCATGCTGAGGGATGGGGACCGGTTGCTGTCCTGTACACCAGGCACATGAGAATCATGAACACGGTTGCACACACTTGGAAACTGATGAAGAAGTTCTCATGCAGATCTGCAGACACATGCAACGGATGACAGACAGGATAAGACAGCATACTGAAGTGGTCCACGTAAAAAGGTTGCATGTCTGCTAACCATGGAATTCTGCATGTATGACCAACTGTTCAGTGATTTATATAGTGCTTGCTGTGAAATTCTGGGCATACCTGAATGTTTTCACAATATTTTGTAATCAGTCTTAGTTATCTGGTGAGTATAGCCATTGGTCTTCAACCTTGTGAAAGATTACAGTCTCGTTTCAGTTCACTTTCAAAATTAGGCTATGAAGGCAAGTTATGGCAAGGTAATGGCCGATTCAGCCGTTTCACAGTAGTGTGCCACCAAGAGTTTGCAATGCGTTGGCCAATCACAATGCGTTAAATTTGTCAACCCAATGCGCTATTGGAAAGGGTCCACAAATTTCACGTGTTATGATTGGCCAATGTGTTGCAAAGTCTTGGTGGCACACTATTGTGAATCGCCCGTATTCAGTGTTTTTTATTGCCAAAATATTTAAAGCATTTGATTATACACTTTATCTCAACTGAACTGGAAAAACTCAACACAATTGAACCCCAACTTTAATGACAACTTCCTATAAATGGGAAATTCACATTTTAGTTGGCCAGCAAATGTTTGTCTCTAAGTGCCAGTACGGGTGTCGTTGGCCAGGTTACATTTGCATCAAAATATACAGTGTCAGCAATGTTGTCAAGCATTTCCCATGTGCTTTTGTATCGGCCATGTTGTAATAAGGTGGTGTCAAACAAAGGCATTATTCTGTGGCTATGGCTATAAAGTGTGGCATGTCAAAGGAATAGAGCCTGAGGCCATAGCCACACATAAATCTCATATAAAGATAGTCTGAATTCGCGACGCCCTTACTCAGCAGAGGTCAATGAAGCCACTGGGGGCCATCTTGCTGAATACAATGCTAACACAAAGAATGGTACAATGGCTCACAAGCCAAAGATCTCCTTTGTATTTTGGTACAGTAAGATGGCCGCCTGTGTCTTCAGTCAATACAATAGTAGTGCGAGACCAGACTTTTTCATATGATGTCTCTGACCAGGACGGTGAACTGCAAAGGATTGTGGGAGATAAGACCCCGAGTGCAAAGAATTTATTTCGCTTAGTAATTCTCAAGCAGATATCAACTGAATCCCGCGACATACAAGTAAAAAGGGCAAAGAAGGATTTCTGGCCAAGAAAGTTCTGCTTTTTAAGCAGTGAATTGATGAAAACTTTACATGGTTCAGGCAAACTGAAAAGGCACCAACCTGTATTTTCTGTGGAGGAGACACAGGTCAGTGCTATCAGAGACAGGTTCTCGAGCAGCTCTGCCATTGCACAGGCATTGCACAACATGGGGTACCAGGCACGGCTGATGCATTTTAATATCAGCAAACAAGGACATTTCAATATGAAAATCGGTAACAATGTTCCATTAAACCCCACATAAAATGTACAAATGTCTCACAACTGGCAAGGGTTGCAGGGAAATTAGCAGAAAAAGAAATAAACAAAGGAACAAGAGGTAAATCAGGGATGCACAGAATTTGTCCAAGAGTTCAAGTTCCTCGCAGCAGGGTAGACATCTAACTTTGAAAAAATAACACTTGCCGTTTTCAGTTCAAATATTTGTCAGGAAAATTCAAGAAAAGTTTGTCCTAAAAACCAACAAACAAAATTGCCATCCCACCAAAAGTAACATTATTGGGTAGACAGAGCTTTGGGATATGTTACCAGCAAATTAGGAAAAGCAATTTCATTTGAATTAATAAAATTTCCACTTGCTCGTGGCAAAGAAGGATGAAAGCAATGGGAAGCCATGACAGGGGCAAGAGTTCAGGCGAGAATGCTTGGAATTGCTTGGAATGCAGATTGCCGTGCTTTATTAGGGTGTATGGAAAATGGAAATTAAACACTCAGTTACACCACCGCAAACTGATGCAGCCTTTTGGGGGGAGAAAGGCATGAAGGGCTGACTGATGCTTTGCCATGGAAACAATATGAGGGAAATGAGTGTGGTGATGTTCATTTCCGTGTGCTCATGGTAATACATGCGTCCATTTTTTAAAAACATGATGCCGGACTTAAGAAGAACTTTGTCAACATTTGAATAGGTGGAACAAAGCTCCAAGTCAGAAAATGTAAGAACTTCAATTTAACATTTGCTCTGTCTTGGTTTTGCTCTCCTATCTTATTCAAGCCTTTTCCCCGTATTAGTTGCCCTGTTCTTCAATGACATGACAGAATCCGACCAATCACAATGCATTTTGTTTGTTAGTAATAATGTGGATCCTCCTTGTTAATGTACTTTCAAGCTAAGCTCATACCTTGTTTACCGAATCACACTGGTCAACTTGACGCAGATGGAAGTGATGCAATGGGTGTTAGGTGGGGGGGGCCATTCACCATGAGGTCAAGAGGTCATGGGTCATGAAGTGCATCCATCTGCCTCATTGGCATGTTTCTGTTTGACACACGCACACACTCCCGCTGGACCGGAAAGTGTTGCAGGGAGAAATCGGTGCACACCGGCACAATTCGTAATTGAAGCAAAATTCAGCGAGACAAAGATTAGTCATGCTATTGCAAAATTACACAGTTGCTGAATACAGACTCTTATGCGTAGCAATTTCTTGGAAGGGCTTTTTTGGCCAGGTTAAGAAAGTTAATCGTCCCCACCGTGCCCTATTTTGAAGCTGCATGCTTATTTCACATGTTGTACTCTACCAGAAAAAGTCGGCATTTTGGTTAACAATCTTTTAGTTCCTAACCAGGCCGCAAATCATGGATAGTTAACCTTTGACTGACAACAAGCAGACCAACACAAAAAAGCCTCCTAACTGGTTTTGGAAAAAAAAGAAAAAAAAAAAAAGACTATCAACTATGTGAAGTTTTTGTTTCAATTTTATTTTTGTTTTGTTTTTTAACTTGGTCTTATAAATTAGGAGAAAGAATGAGCAAAAGGTTGAATGAAGCCCATCCTACCGGAAAAAAAGCAACATCACGGCTCCTATACATAAAAAAATATACTGCATGAACTGTGTAGGAAAATCTGGAATGCCCAAAACAATCTTTGCATAAGTTTTGGGAGATTAATGCTTGAGAACACTGCATAAAGTCAAACGGGCACAGCAATAGTACTGTTTTTAATTGCTATAGTCTGCAAAAGCAGTACAGCTAGCTGGATAACCACACATCACATGTTAATTTGGTGCATTTCTGAACACACGTGCCAGGTTTTGCAGCGACGGGAAGCATTTCTAAGTCCTTTACACACTTGTCCATCAGTTCTGAATTTTGAGTAACTTCCTTGACGACATGATCTCGCAAGCATTACCATGCAGGTATATACACACATGTATGGCTCCTTGATAACGCAGACTATGCATATGCCATGCATCAGGGAAGCATGAAACGTAACTAGCAGCAACAGCAGACAGGCCAATTTGTGGAGCAAACTCTAACACTACGGGCCTGTTTGTTTCACGTAGATCTGGGTCACGATCACTGATCACAAAGTTTATCCACGCCATCCACTAGGCGGGCTCTGGTGTCAGAGAACCAACGTAGGATCACTGATCACAATCTGGATCCTTGTGCAACAAACTGTCCCACAGCATAAATGTACATGTAATCACGTAAAATTGCTGTGAAACTGGACAAAGATTGCTGGGTGAAGCTTTGGTCCTGAGATCAAGGTTGATAAAAAAGGTCTGTCAGCAGCGTCTGTGCATATTAAAGATCCCATGCAGTAAAATCTTCTAAAATGAAATCCTTGCCAGGCACTGTGGTGTCTCATGAATCTTCATTGTCTGTCCTTGAATTTGCATTGGTCTTTGCAATTTGAAAAGAGTGTTTGAAAGATTTTATGCAAATAGTAATGCATATTCATGAGTGACACAAAGCTGCTACGATTGCCTCTTTTGGTCATCAAGCTTCAATGCATTTCTTTGGTCATTTCATGCATGACAGCCATTCAAGTAGCAATATTTATGAACAAAGGTCCCAAGGTAGAAACTAAATAATGAAAACAGAACACTTTAAACAAAATTCAAGTCCAGAAAAGAAATGCCGAGTGAGCGATTTCAAGCAGTTCAGAAGAATATTTGCACATGAAATACATGTATCTTTGCTTCAGAAAGGCACCCACCAAACCGTGATTTCCAAAGACCAAAGTCTCATGCACACTAGGGTAAACGTTCCCATTGTTACGAGGACATTTTCTTTCGTTCGCAAAGTCAGAACCAAATGGTGAGACCAAATTTGTCCCCGTGATGTTCTTGGTCCCCATATCTACAGTATGTATACTGCAACATGCGTGTAGTCCCCTGTGCACGTAGCGCCGTCAAACCAACCCACCTGGTCCGAACTCCTGCGTACTGCATGTGGTGGTACTTGACGGCAAGGAGCCGCTGGACCGTGGTCAGCATGACAGACAGCCGCCAGAAATAGCAGGAGGGGGGCAGGGCTATGGCCGCGCTGATTGACGGCAGGAAATTTGGTACCTGGACACGCATGGAATAAACCACACCTATGCACATGTAATTGGCAACATACCAGACAGTTTGCTGGTTTACATTACTTGACCGCTGTTTTATATAAAATGGCAAGTAACAGGTTGTGTAGGATCTGTGACTATGTGTTGGTCCTACTCAATGGACAACTCCAGTGACCATGGTAGCACTATCACTGATCATTTCCAGTGGCCCCCACCAATGGTGGACAGCACTGAAATACCTTCTGCACCAAGCCACTGTTCCGTGACAGTCACTGGCAGTACATGAGAGTAGACGCAATGACAAACAAATATCCAGCAGCACTTGAATGACATGACATGGGTAGCACCCCAGAAATGAATCGTGGGTTTGCATGTACTTTACAGAGATGCTGAGCTAAGCGCAGAGATATTCTAAGCGCAAAACGAATTTTCTCCACTATTTTGCTAAGCCGATATTTCCTGCACTTTTTCTGTTCCTTTGGTTTTTCAGTTAAAATGTCAGGTGACGTAAAAATAAAGCCTGTACGTACAGTCCCAAATTACCCGAGGATGCAAGGCATTTATTGCTGTATTGCTAACGCTAGCCACCGATCCACAAACATTCCTTAACCCATCTCAGCTCCTTCGAGTAACAATATACATACATGTACACATCTTGCTGCTGTCATTTCAGGCTTAAATGACTAGTCAAGTACTAAAATCATCTCTGATCTCACAAATACCCACTGGGAGTAAAGTGACTTGCCCAAGGTCACAGCATGTAACCAGCACCTGGGTTCGAATCATCCCATCCTCTGCTCATGAGAGTCATAATTCCTAAGCCACACAACTCCAGCGCGCTGCGTGAGTTTGACTCCTGGGTGATTGTTTTTTTTAACAGGGCATTTTACAATGCAATATTTGAAGTTGAGTGGCTAAAGCCGGCAATTCCATCACAAATGCTCCCACAAGTCGATTCACGAGACTAGCCACAAGCAACAAGGTGAACAGTGACGGAGAAATTCAAACTTTATCCACAGTTCATTTGAATTAGATAATTGAAGACTGAATGATTTCAGATGGATGGAAACAGGCAACTCCTTAGCAGTTAGTGCTCCAGTAATGAACAGGCTTACCACTGGCGGCAGGAGGGGGGGAGGGCAGTGCCCCCCATACTTTTCAACTGGAGGGAGGGCATGACTTTCCTACTGTTTTGGGTCCTCTAATGGGGTGGGGCTAAATGGATTGGCCTATAAATGGCTGATGGCTGACAGAACTGAATGAGAACTGAATCTGCTTGCCCTGATGAAGGTACCCAGTTACCGAAAGAAAGGCAATAAGATGAATAGAGCACACTGACTCATATGTTTTCTATTATCTCCTTTCCAAAAGACATGTACATGTACTTACTCGGCAATGAGTGGCAATACTCGATCGAAAGTTGAAGAGTAACGCAAGGCCAATACACAGCAAGAAACCAACCGCCATGGTGCTTGTGGTGAATATGGTTGCAGCCGACACTTTGACGTACATCGCCTTGGACGGTGAGGACGCCAGTGGATTTTTGTTGACGTCGTTCGTCGTCTTCATTTTTTTGTGAGCGTTACAATGCAGAGGTACCCTTTTTTGAAATACAACAGCTGGATTGTGAATGAAAAGGGAACCAGGAGAAAAAACACATAGATATCTCAGAATTGGAAGTAATGTATCATTCTTTGCTGTTTAATTTTTCAAGAAACAAGTATCAGGGGACAGAGAAGCCAATGATGTCACAGTTCGTGTCATGCCTTTCGGCTGAAATAGACTAACCAGTGCTCCTTACTCCAATGAATAAGCAGAGTTGAAGTTTGTTCCCCTTATAAAAATCAGACATGAAGAAAAAAAATAAATTATTTTTGCTTTACATGATGTTGAGATGTAAAGTCAATGTCATGGATTCTCTTTATTTGGAATGCAATGACCGATCCAGTCCAAAATTTGAAAAAGCGGAGCACATGTAACTACTAACTACTCAGTAGAGCTATAAATTACCAATCCATTTAGGCCCACCTATTACTAATTACAATCACATTCAAATCTCCATACATAGGCTAGCCTAGTCTGGGTAACAGAATTGTGAAGTTGCATGGGGGCACATTTCTCGGGGGGGGGGGACAAATTTGTTACTGTTGGCATGGTAGGGCATACAGAAGGACAATTTACCCGAAGGGGGTGTTGAATACTTACGCGTAGGTTAATGTGTTCCACCCGGACACAAGTTTTACCGGGGTGCAAGCGATCCGGTACTTTGGTCTGATGAATAAATAAACAAGATACACGTACATGTGAGTAAAATATCCTTTAAGAGGACTTCACATTGCTAACCCCATATGCTACACTTACGTCTGTGATTTTACAAAATCAACTGTATTTTTGAGGGGAAAAAAACAACTAACCTTAGCAGCAGCAGCATTCCACGTACGTACAGGCAATCTATTTAACGGTCCTCTTGTCTACCGCCCTCTACTGCTAACTGATGCTCCAAATTCGTGTTTGGCCGGCCGGGCCCTCATTTGGGCCTGATTCGCAATCTGTCTGAGTAGCAATCATGGCGACCTCCGAGGCGAGCAACGTGACACTGACAGGTGGTACAAGCGAAGGGGTAGAATCCGACGAGGCTAGCGACTTGTCTGACACAAGTTACAGTGATGAAGAGTCAGCTAGTGAAGAGGAACAAGAAAAAGCAGAATCTGATGAAACAACAGTAAGAACCTAAGCCTGGCTTATTGCTGATCACAGTGATACCGCATGAGTGATTTTGCGCAATGGGAGAAAGGCATTATGGCACGTATGGGAAAGAAAAATGAGCAAACATTGCCCTCTTTTCCTTCCCACAATGCCTTTCTGCCATTGTACCATGCAAAACCACTCATGCGGTTTCAGCAATAAGGCTTATGAAGAAAGTACTGGTATCCAAGTTGCTTAGGCCTAGTCCAAAGGCTAAGTTCTTTTCCTACCTCCATGATTTTGGACCATCATAAGCCTTTTTCACATTTCATGTGCGCATGCTCATTGCTCATGCTACATGCTCATAAGCGCACATGCTCACAAGATTTAACAGAGAGGAACATATTCATGACAACAACATTGCGTTATGTTTGGCGAATAGATGCTCGTGATTGTTATTGTTGTAGACAATTTGTTCCCCTCTAGCTTTGTTTACTTACTAATGTGGAGGCGGTAAAGTCAACATGGTGACGGAACAGGAACTTGGCTTGGGGGAGGCAGATTCTGCCCTCAAGAACCTAGCTGTACCCTGTTTGATGTTTTTGAAACTTGGTGTACATGTAAACACGCTCCTTATCATTACAAACGTGAAGTTTGAACTCAATATTCTTTTGTTGTGGGGGTCATTTGAAGTTCAAGGTTACATGCGTGCCGGCCCGCTTGCATTGTAATGATTGTTGAGCGCCAAAGTATACAATTTTAATATTGACATACATGTATTTACAGTAACCTTAACACAACTTTGAAGTTCTATAGTTATGGTAACGTATCTGTGCAAGCGCTATGACTTACTCATTGACTGATGACCGATTGAGCCGACACGTACACAAAACTGGTTCACAGGCTGCTGTAATGCATTGACTGCAACAGCTATTTATGGCAGTTTAACTACACAAGCGTGAGGACATTGTTTTATACAAATTTGATACACTTTTGGACATCATATTATACCAAATAAAAAAATTGTTTTATTTTGCTGATGTGCAGGTCTACGACGACCGCGTGCTGACCACTGGAGACTTTTGGGGGGGCCTAATAGTACTATAATGTTGTCCATATGTGGAACTCTTTCCTTAAAAACTCTTACAGGCACACCTCCTGAAAAAAAAAGCTTTGCAGCGATACCGGAAAAAATGTTTAGGGGGGCTCTTTTAGGGTTAAGTACTTACAGGCCACTTGTTCTGGAAAACAAAATATGCCAAAGGCACTCCTGGAAACCAAAAGGCACCTCTGTCATGTCTGTGTGCCACATTTGAAAAATTCGAAAACCCTAATCACTATTTCATCGACAGCCTACAATTTTCTTACTTCTCAAGATTTTTTTTTTTTGGCATCAGGCACCGAAACCCAAGACCATTGTATGCGATGACATGGTGACAAGACTGAGCTGTCACCCCAATGACAACATACTGGCTGCAGCTATGATGGATGGCACCGTCAAACTGTAAGGGCCCTGACATGACACTGCGTATAATGCAGGCCAAGATCGGTCAACCCACACGGTTAACTAACTTGATCCTCGGTGTCTTGAAAAATTAACACATTTCCGTTCTCAGCTCTGGAAAATGTCTTTGGCTCAAAACTACATATACTTAAACTGTGGAGCAAAATATTCATGAAAACTTCGATTACTGTTTGCACAGAGCTGCACAAAGTTACAGTGTTGTATTCTAGACTAGACTTCTTAAGACCATCACAAGATCCCACAAGACCAATGCAAGACTTCCAGTCTGAAGTCAAGTCACAAGCAAGTCAAATGAATAGCAACAACGGCATTCCTTTGTCAGCATTCACCCTGCTGTTTGGGACTGGTCTTGATCATTTGATGTGGTGGTCGCAATTCTATCACATGAAAGTCAGTGCCACATTCTCGTTGTTTGATGACAAGAATCAATTTACTGTACATGTACGGTATATGCATCCCATTGTTATACTCCGGGCACCCAAACAAAGACCCAGTTGGTTTGCACTTGTTGGGTTTCTGTGTACTCAGTACCATCCGTGAGGCAGTGTTGTTTCTGAGACGGCAAGTAAGCTGAAATCTCAGCCGAGGGAGCTGGAGTCAGGTCTGCAGTGCAGTATTTGGCCGAATTGATTAACAAGGACAAGTCGTCAGTTGTACACATGGCATTAGTGTGCAAGGACTCGGACTCAAGTCTGAGTGAAAATTCTTGGGAAATTTTATTCAGTAAACTTTTCTGTACAAACACTTAGCTTCAGTCTTATAACCAAGAGCGTGGTTGTGCGAACACACTGTCTTGCTTTCAAGAAAAAAAATGACTCAACCGCAATACTGATGCGAGACAACAGCTGTGCACAGTGTTTCCACCTCTGTGGAAAGTCCTTAATTGATAACAGAATTCCCTTTCTCATTGAGGCATATACTTCCATTGTTTTAAGAAAATGGATTAGATACAGAACGGTAGTGAGATATCTGTTATATTTTTCCTGCATTGGAATCAAATTTATTTGGATAATATATCTAGGTTGTAATTTTTTTGTGGGTAGTTTTTCCTACTCCTGTGAGACATCCAATGAAGAGATCTTGTCTCTCTCCGCACATCAGAAGGCCTGCCGTGGAGTAGCATTCTCTGAAGATGGCAAAAGTAAGTGAACCTTACAAAGTGATTAAAAAAAACTAGAATCTTCAGAGTTTAAACGGTGAAGACAGATTTGTGCATATTTCATTATCCACTAATTGAGGAGCTCTCTTAATGAATTTCGATCGAAATTTCAAACTGGTAAGCTTAGAGTGTTGTTACCTTGCGTAAAAGTTTTTTGAACATTGTTGGGTTTTAAGAGGATGAGTGAAGTCTGATCGTTTTCTCAGTCATTTGCTGCACTCAATGTTCCTAATCTTGGAAAGGCCCACTGATTGGCCACAATCTCTAAGTCAAAGGCATGGACGTCATTCATAATTCATCACCAACTCTTCACTTCCATCACAGATGTTTACTGTGCCGTTCTCTAGAATCTGTAAATAAGGGGTCCCTAGGTCAGAGGTCGAAATCAAACCTGTTATGTCGTTTGGAAAGAGAAACTGCATATTGACCAATGTTCTCCTTTGTCATACCAGCCTTATTCACAATATCGAGAGACAAGTCGCTCAGGGTGTTTGACGTCAGCACGGGTCACACCTCCCAGCAGTTCATCAAGGCTCATAGCAGCCCGCTCTACTGCCTGCTGGTGGCAGACGAGAATCTCGTCGCCACGGCAGACGACGATGGGCAGTTCAAAGTAAGACGCTGGCATCTTGTATTTGTAGTTGTCATTTCAAATTATAGCGAAGCATTTTCTGGTAATGAAACCAACGATTCCTGAACATGCCCTGGGCACTGTAGCTCGTAAGCCCGAAGAAACCTGTACAGAGGAGACAATGAGAAGCAGTTACAGTTTTAGAGGTGGGAGGAAAACCCCAGAGGAATATTCTGGGTAAAACCCACAGAATTAGTTATGGCCTGAAATCCCAATCCACATGTGGACTGATCCGGGAATCGAACCCTGGCCGCAGAGGTGTAAGGCGAGGAAAGAACCACCACGCCATTGCCAACCTGATACCCTGAAAAATTAAGAGACTGCCAACAAAGATCTCTCGATAGAGCGTGGATACATTGCACAGTGATGTAATGGAAACCTTTTCTAAGACGATGCTTAGGCCTATGAAATGGAACATCCAATTTGAGTCAAGTCTGACATGAACAAGAGAACACCTGCCAAGCTTTGATGTATTTGTAAAGAGACAGCTGGACTTTAAATTTTTTTATTTGAAATGTCAACTTCCTAACTACCCGAAACCTGCCATACTCCAACAGCAGGTTTTGTGAGGTTTTGGCAGGTTTGGTGCTGTACTTGATGAACTTCTTGTTAAACTTTGTGAGACTTGGGATGAAAGGCCCTGGGAGATGGTGTTGGATTCTGTGTGAGTTGGGACACACACGGGTCACTGTGTGCAGTGTCTGGCTTGCTGTACCAATTGTTGGACTATGCTTGATTTCGTCAGGTTTGGTACTGTTCAGTGCAAGTCATCCTATACTGCATAGACCCATCCATACCATATCACTCAGACTCCAATGGGCTCATTCTGTTGGAGTTTATCAGGTTTGATACAGTAACCTGCATGTACAAGTACATGAACTTGTTGGATTTCGTGAGGTTCAGTATGCTTTCTAGCGCAGGAGCCTAGGGAGTTAGGGTTAATGTGGTCCAGGCAAAGTGTTGATTTCATTTCCACTATAGAAATGCACATTTCAACATGACCTTGTAGTTTAACTCAAACTTTGCTGTGAATGGGAGACAAAGTCAACATAAACATGTATTCTGAAAAAGGTCTAAGTTGCATTTTGCAAGATCATGAATGGACAGTTCTTCATATTGACCTTAAGACAAGATCTCGAGAACTTCCAGTCACAAAGTGGTTGACTTCTTGTCTTTCACAGCTTTAGAGCACTGCCTTTAAATCTCCACCTTACCAACAGGTCTGGGATCTGAGAAAGAAACATGCAATCATGGAAGTGAAAGAGAACGAAGATTACATCAGTGATATGGCCATTGATAAGGCCAAACGCATCATTGTGGCCAGCAGGTAAGAATTATTTTTGAAAAAATATCGAAGATTTTGTTGCATGATTGCAGTGCATTTTGTCTGCTCTTACGGAGACACCAAAACAAACAATTAACCACTTGACGCAAGTTGACGTGAAAACACACATTTTTCCTCATTTGTTCCACGGAGGACCCGTACACCAGTGTTGTAGTCGAGACCACTTAAGACCTTCACAAGACCACACAAGACCACCATAAAACCTCCAGTCTGAATTCAAGTCACAAGCTATTCAAATGAACTGCAACAAAAGCATTGTTCACCCTGTGACTTGTTTCTGGTCTTATGTCTGGTCTTGTGCCTGGTCTTGTGCCTGGTCTTGTGTCTGGTCTTGTGCCTGGTCTTGTGTCTGGTCTTGTGTCTGGTGTTGTGCC